TATTGGTTGTTAATGGGACCCATGTGTTAAAAAATTAAATTAAATGTATTTGACTCATTCTTTGTTTGTTGTCGAAAAAAACAACTAGAAAGCTAGGAGTCAAATGACTCAACTGCCACATTATATATGGCATATCGATTGGAGAACACTCTAATGTCTTTTAATCTTATTTGACATATTTGACATCTCCTTTGAAGATGGTTTAAGAAGGTCGAATTGGGGATGTCATTTTCTAAAATTTACAAGTTTTTACAAATAAAAAAATAAAACTCAAGTTTTTGTTGAAATTTAACGGTACTACATTATTTATGAAATTTAATGGTACTACATTGTTTATGAAATTTAACGGTGCTACACTCTTTATGAAACTTAATGGTACTACACTCTTTATGAAACTTAAAGGTACTGTATTCTTCTCTCCTACTCTAATTATTTATGAAACTTAACGGTACGACACTATTAAAAATCCTTATAACGATTGATGTGCTGACAATTATTGACTCTTGATGTGCTGACAATTATGCAATCTCAATTCTTTATTTATTTGGGCCTAGTTTCATGTCTAAGTTAGAAATCCTTATCACTTTAATTAGGAATTGAAATTGAAGAGATTGTAGGATGATCAATAAATAAGACCATGCATAGCCCGGAATCTCTTGGAAATCCACCGAGGATCAAGCTATACTAATGAGCTAAAAGACCATATGCCATTATGAAGCTGCAGAAACAACACTCGTCTTGTTACGGCCGAGCCGTTTACCTACTCCTCGTCTTCTCTGCAACTACACCTCCGCAGCCACGGGAAAGGTCCACGGTTTTTTGGCTCCTCCGGTAAGGTGAGAGGCCAGACAGCCAAACTGGTTGAGCAGGATAAGAAGAAGAAGCCCCGGGGCCGCGCACAAGCGCTTGCAACACAACCGCCGATCCGTCACCCCCGGGGTTGGCATCGGAAAGAAGAGGGGACCCAACTCGTCTGAGAAGTAGGGCAAAGATTCAAAGCCTTGAAAGGATGAGTAGTTCTTCCGAGATTAAGAAAATTAAAGGCTGTATTTTTTTTAATTGTCACTCTTTGTTCTTAAGACCTTAACGCTGGTTTGTTAGTTCATAGAAAGATATTTGGAAGTGTTGGATTATGTTGGGATTTTTTTTATCTAATTTGAATTAGCAGCGATGCGATTTTGTTTCTGGTTTCTAAGAACATTAATGCAATTTTATTTCTGGTTACTGTTTTGCCAAAAAAATTTGAAGCTGCAGAGGATTGAGGTGGTGCACGTGCTTATAGTTAGAATTTTTTTTTTGTTTTTGTTTTTGTTTTTCTTGTTCTTATTATTAAATAAAGTTATTAAGTGACTTTTAGTCAAAATTCAGAATTTTGAAACCTTTTTAATTAGTTTTCTTTTTATTTTATAGCTCGTTAACAAAATTAGAACCTAACTGTTTGTGCATGGCACGAAAAGAAAGAGAAAATATAATTCAATTGAAAAAAGGTAAAAAACGCTACTCTTACCACTTATTTGTATCAACATTTGTATTATCACTAATAAAGATGAGACCCACATATGTTGGCAGCCCTACCTCTATAAGAGAGATGATACAAATAGGTGGTAGTTGTAGTATTACTAAAAAACAATTAAGAAACAAATAATTGTCATCATGCAGAATAATAAGCAAAATGGTAATGCTAGAGAGACCAAATTTTTAAACCTAATTTTGTAAACCAAATGATGATTGAATTGTTACTTAAGTCTTTATTAACGTGCTTATTTTCTATTGGTAACACATCATTTGATTTTAAAAAATTTCTTCCTAACATTATCCTAAGCAAAAATATTCCCCAACAAAGGCTTAGAATCCATTACAGAGTACTCCCATTGACACTATAAGCAAACCAAAATTAGAGTTTAATAACTTTCTTTGCATAAAATAATAAGTAAATAATGACAAGTGAATTGAGGAAGCATGCAGCCCTTGTATTGAACCACATCATCCTTGCTTTAAAAATTGAAATCCGCATTCCATGCATATATGTGGTTGTGCTTTTGGCCCCTTGAACCAAGATTTAGATTACCACAACCTCACCAAATCATAATTTACAGTTGAACATAATAAAAATACAAGAAACAAAGACATTGAGAAAGTTACGGGGTTTGGCATATTCCTGCCTACGTGCCTAGAGAGATATTGCTCTTCACTATGAGAATAACAGTACAAGTTACACATGAGTTAAATCGAGATAACTCAATACTGAATCCCTTGTACACCCACTCACAGAAATTTCCCAAGAGCCTCACTCTTCCCTAAGAGTTCTTTCACCAGAGACCTTTCACTCTAGCTCTCTTGATTTCTCTCAACCGTGCCCATTGGAGAGCCAAATGCTCTCACCATCTCTTTGGATGCTTCCCTGAAGCCTACCCATTCACTCGGCAAGGATACCCGAATGCAAGACTACTACTTTCACTTACAAGCATGCACCAGCAATTATGCCAGCAACCAAGGCCAAATTTTTTTTTCAGTTCACATGGCATATTCAACACCTAGTTGTACCTAGCCTATAAAAAGAAAGCATGCACAATTGCATGCAATCCCACAAAGTCAAGACCTGCTTGCTTCCAACTTTGCTTGTGGCAATCACCATGTCTTCTCTTGAACGAAGACTTCCATGCCACAACTAAAGGCAAAACACAAAGTCACAAATGACTGCTGCCATTTTTTTGTAGCATTCACAAAGTTACACATGCAAAATAGTTGCCAACTCATAAGTATACGAGCCAAACACAACAGTTAGGCGCCATTAGAACAATTCCATCCTTAAAAAAATGCGTCAACACTCAGCCCATTTAATACACTCAGTGAACAGTGATAGACCTCAATGAACAGTAATAGGCCAAATGCATATCCACCCCTAAAACTAAATAGCCTAGTCAATTTTATTAATTTTTATTATAAAATAATAATTTGATTTTTAATTTCTGATATGATCCCTTCTTCTTCTTCTTCCCACTTTTCTCAAAAATGTCTCTTTGGACTCCCTTCTTCTTTTTCTTCCCTGGTTTTCCAACTGTGCGTTCAAGCACAGTTTCACCACTTTTTCTTCCCTTCTTCTTTTTCTTGTCTTCAAACCACCAAAACCCATGTGAGATCAACCAAGTTCGGCCCGACCCGAATTCAAAGACAGGGGAAAGATTGACGCTTTCTAGAGGTGGAAAGAGATAAAGATAGAGAGGGAGGGTTTTGGATATGGAAGCTCGAGTTGGGGTGGTGGTGGAAGGAAAGCAGAGAGCTTCGAATTAAGCTCAGGGAGGTGTGGCGGTATCGCCTGGCGTCATGTAGGTCGGGTAAGGGCTCAGCACATTCTGAGCCTGCCTAGTGACCATCTTGGGCTAGGTGCCTGATCAATAATTTGGTTAGGTGCCGGCCTAAAGGTTCCTCGGTGGAATTGCTCTTAGGTATATCTATTATGCTTGCGAGAAAGAGAGAGAGAAAAATGCAATAGTGGATGAAGTTATGACAAGGAGTGGAGTTTATATAGGGAGCAAAAATCTAGCTCACGGAGGAAGAAAACATGCATGAATAATCCGAGTCGAACTTGGAAGCTCATCAAATTTGCCTAAAACCTTCAAATTAACATAGCATTTTTGGACGTTTGATATTTCGGGTATGAATGTGTGGCTTGGAGAACAAGGTAAGATTTCTTGTCAAAACAACAGTTGGGTTATTAGAAAATATGGGGGGCCTTTGTTTGCCCTCATTGAACTGGACTGGATTAAATATTGGTGCAATACATGTTTGTCATTTTACGGGACTAGCTTTAATGGAATTAGGGAGGACTTGCCTCGAGTAAAGACCTCGCTAGCCACTCTTAGCAAGACCCCCCGAAAACCATGGGACTAGCTAAAACCTTCACTTCGTTGTGCTCGCGTCATCTCTCTACTCACTGCTCACGTCCCCTCTTTGCTCTATGCTCGCGTTCTCTTTCTCTCTCCTCGCCCCGAACCCAAAATCATGAACAAGACCTCAGATTTGAACCTCAATTGAACAACCCACGAGCTGCATCATCTGATTCACCTCTGATTGGGCTCCATCCTCCTCTACTTCGATTTTCAATGATAAGGGCTTCGAGCATAGCTTCATCTTCGATGACGACCTCGTCAACTGCTTCATCTTCATAGAGAACCTCGTCGACTGCTTCATCTTAGAAGATGACTTCGTTGACTGCGTCATCTCCGTCGTCTTCTTCTCATTCGCAATCACCATGATTGTGGCTTTGAAGTTACTGAAGTGACTCTCGAGGTTTTGTTGGGTGATGAAACAGTTGCCAAGGTGACTCAAATCCTCACAATTATCAAAATTAATCTAACATAATCAACGTTGGTTTATTCTGTTGATCATGTAAATTTCTGAAATTTTCATTATCTTGTTTTTTTGTCCCACAACATACCAAACACTTCACTAAATTAGTTCATATTAATCTATTCTAAACAAATCTAACTTAATATCTGAAGTTAGTCCAATCCAAGATAATCTGGTACAACAAATGTACCCACATGATTTTATCTAATTATCAACCTTCTATATCATTTAATTTACAAAATTTTATCTACAAATTTAATCTATTGCGATAATTAACATGACAGGATGCACCAATTACCAAATAAATCCAAGCCAAATATCACATGTAACATGTTAAATGGGATAGGGAGACAAGCCGACAAGGCCACAAGGGGCTGGAGCTCAACCTACACACTCCACAGTCCACGCACACTTAACAATTAACATCGACAGGTCATCATCCTAATATATATATATATATATATATATATATATATATATATATATATTATACCAAGAATAAAAATATATCCACATACCAAAATTAATAAAAAGAAATCAAAATCATGATGATGGCCAATAGAAATTGCGGATTGAGGCAGCTGTGACATGTTTTTGGTCACAGGCTAAGCAAAAACCTGGGGTGAATCAAACAATATCACCACCGCACATCACCAAAATATATTCACAATCCTTGCTAAAAAATAAGGACTAGTACAAGTTCAGATTTCATGCATTAAACGCTTAAACTATCACATCGTTACATGGTATAGATGATCACAAAGCAAGGAAGAACAGCTCTTGGATTGAACACCAAAAGCTCCTCCTCGTCCACCCTCGTGTGGACCCCGCTGCCTCCTCCGCCAACAACCGAGTCGAATCCGCCGCCCTCTTTGTCCACGTCGTCAATATCCTCCACAGTGTCACACCCGACCCGACCCGCCACGACCCGGCAGACCAGCATAGCCCGCTTCACGTTCATGAACTGAAACTCCTCCTCGATATCCTCTGGAATTGCCACGTGTGCTCTGGAGCTACTCGACAGCGTGGAAATTCCGTCCAACTTGGGTGAGAATCCAGATTTAATAATTCCACAAACACTGCAGTGCTCGTGATTACAAATCCCAGAATTCCCGTTGAGTCCCAAATCGCAAACGAAAGTTGAGCAGTGAAATCTGAGAAGCTCGTTGCCGTCGGCGATGCACCGCTCATCCCTCCTCCGAACGGTGCCGTTTCGCGCCGCCTTGGACTTGACCAGCTCTCTGTACTCCTCGAACCTCGCCAGGATTTTGCCGCTGTTGTGGATCTTCAGGATCCGGTGAATTTCGGGGGCTTTTCGTGTATCGGTCCAACCTGTTTTGAATATGATTCGGACAATGTTTTTGCCCGAGTCTCCGTCATGAAGCTCCGAAACGGCGTGGTGGATCGCCTGGTGCTGATCGAGAGTCTCGGGTTTCGGGAAGATTTCCCCGCAGGCGGTGCAGGGGAAGATATCGTTTCGGAGAGGGAAACATTGGTGGGAATCGGCCGAGATATCTGATTCGGGGAGCGACCCAGGTAGGTATTTGGGGTCGGTGTCGGGTAGGACGAGGGAGACGATGGAGTGGTGAGAGGAGCGAGGTGGCGTGGAGAGCTGAGATTGGATGATGTTGGTGCAGGTGATTTTGTAGGATTTGGAGGTGAAAATGCGTTTGAGATAGGACCAGGAGGTGGAGAGGGCTTTTTGGGGTTTTAGGGTACTGGGTTTGGAGAGGTGAGTGGAGAGTTTACGGCGGTGATGAGGCCTTTTTGGGATATTGGCGGTGGCGGTGGAAGAGAAGCAACCGAGGTGGAGGAGGAGGATGAGGAGAGAGAGGAACTTGTTGAAGAGGGTTGATATGTTAGCCATATTAGGGTATTCGAAAATGAGAGCACAGTAGATGTAGTCTAGAAAGCTATAGGATATGCATGGAGAGAGAGAGAGATGGTTGCGGAAGAAGGAGGAGGAGGAGAGAGAAGGAATAGATGATCATGAAGGTTGAAGGAGATGGAGAGGGGGAGGAGGTGGGACATGGGAGCAGACCGAGCAGTGGAAGAAGAATAAAGCTAAAAGAAAGAAAGAGTAGGTGGAAGGCAACTTCATGGTATCTCTTTGTCTGCCTCTATATTTCTGTCTCGTTTCTTTTAGATGATGGGGAGATATATAGTGAAAGCTTTGCCGGTTCATGAGATTGTGACTAGGGTTAACAATATTGCGAGAGAGAGTGTGAATCCTACGTTAAAAATTGGAGAATATAAGGACCCATTTCCCATATTATTACCATAACATGCTTTTGACTGTGATTAACTGTCTTCCATTTCAAGGGCAATTCAAAATACATTCATCATATATTTGTATAGGGGATGAATCTTAGGTACAAAATTCGGATTTCATATGCGGTTATGATTAAGGATAAATTTGGCAATCTAACAGCTAGTAACTGTAATTGCATAAAAAAAAAAAAAAAGTGAATCTGTCATTCTAACATTATTTGAATCTTAATTATTAACAATTTAAGAAATATTGTCATCTAATTTACCAAGACATATGAGTTAGTGATTAACATTTGAAGAAACTATATATTCAATTGAGATTTTGAAAGATTTTAAAAGAGTAATAAATTCATCGATTTTAATGGAGTTTTATGGACTTGTTGAGGTTCCATCATATATAAAACCAATTAGAAACAAGGGGAGGAGCCCAACTTACTTATAAGTCCATGCAAGGTCTCTCCTCTCATCAATGTGAGATTCATTTTCAACACGAACTCTCATGTGTGGCGAATTTTCAAGCCTATGTGGACAACACAACGGGGTGACATGGCCGTTTGGCTTTATAGTGGGACAACCAGCTTTGATACCATGAAGAAAGTTGAGGTTCCACCATAAAATCAGTTGGCAATATGGGAAGTATCCCAACTTACTTATAAGCCCATGCAAAGTCTCTCATCTCATCAGTGTGGGTTTTACTCATGAAGAAGTTTGTGTTCCACCATAAAATCAATTGGCAATATGAGGAGTAGCCTAACTAATCATAAGCACATGCAAGGTCCTTGGTCTCATTAATTTGAGATTTATTCTCAACACGCCCATTGATTCATTATTTTTTTTTTAACAAACGATATTATCTATACTAAGGGCGAAGGGGTGGACTTAGCCTCACAATAGACTAGCAACAATGTGGCTCAAATTCGCCTTTGGTGAGAATCAAACGTAAGACTCTCACTTATAAGTGAAGAAGAATTCCACTAGATCGTAGTAATAAATAGCGATTCATCATTTTCTTATGACTTGTACTTTAATTTTATGGTTGCACATGAAGCATGCTTTTGTTTGGCTTGAAGATGATACATGCACCTGAAACACCCCGCATGCATCACATGGATCTTACTTTTCTGTCGCAACTTTAACCGTAACTAGCGTTCTCTTACATTTTTTGGGATATGCAAAAATACAACTTGTCTTCTTGAGCCTTGCCATTTTAATTTCCTTTTAATAAAAACTATGAAATAAAATGCAATCACTTATTTCTACGATGTAATTGTATTGAATTTTAAATTTGATTTTTATAAATAACTAATGTGAATTAAATTATTATTATTGCATTGTATAACTTAACTTAAATATACACAAGTTTTAATTAAAAACATCATTGTATCAAACACGTAAACCCCGTACGCATGCACTTCTTGGTCATGAATTAAATGCCTAAATTAAAATGAATTAATCACGTCAAGGATCGACAATCCAAAATTCTTCATCATTGTCAACAATGGATTGAGGACTGAGATTGGCATGTGGAATTGCTTAAGCTCGTCATCATTCACGATCATGTACCAATATAATATAACTTGGAAATTAAAGAAGAGATTAATAAATTGATCAAGAACAAACTCTTAGATGTGATACTATGGAATGGATGTGGTTACACACGTGCATGGTTCTCCCACAAAAGCGGCCAACCCATTTAATTAAACAATTTTTTGATATATAAAACCAACAATTCAATAATTAAATGGGGTTTAACATGCATTGCCATTTCTCAAAGAGAATCCAAAGTCTGCTCTTGCCATTGTTGTCTAGGGGACTTTAACGAAAAGCTTATGGTGATGTTCATTTTAACCAAAAACCACATTTTTACACTAAAAAGTCGATCCTTGTACTATTCACTTTACCTTTTATTTTATCATTTTTGTTAAAACTTAAAATTTTCAAACCATTTTTATTAGTTTTCCTTTTTAATTAAGTTTAGTTTGTTTTTTCTTGATAGATCGATATGAACAAAATGATGCATGACTTGTGTCCAAAATTGCAGGGTTTTAGTTTTTATGACTAAAAATCGAGTTATGCGACAAAACTTCACTTATTTAGGATGGCACCGTATGTGGAGGATCCCCAAAAGTACATGCATGAAACCAATTTAATTTTGTAAAAGTTGGTGAAGCCAAACTTTGACGTTTAAATCGGTTTTAGTGCTTCACAAAATCGATTCTATTATACAACGAGAAATGCATATTTTTCATAGTGAGACTCTCTATGAATTTTTTGTCATAGTTTATGACACACCCCGAATCGAAGATGTTCACTTAGATTTCGAATCGAGCTGTGTTGGCCGACATCCGGAGAGTGACGAAGCCATAAAGTATAATGATGTGAAAAATGTGAATAAATTTAAACCTAAAAGTGCCTAAATATAAGAGTGCACTATGAGCAGGAATGAACCCATTTCATAAGTGATGTCAGAGCATAAGTACAGTATAGTAAAATAGGATGAGAATTATACCATTGAAGGTAATCGTCTATACCAAGATTTGCCAATAATCCTTATCGATATGAAAGCTCTGCTTCTAGAACCTGGAGGGGGCGAAAAACAAGGGTGAGTGGGTCTAAAAATAAAGTTTTATAAAAACCTTCTCAAAAACATAATAACCCCTCGCTGTAAAACAATTATAATTTCTAAATTATACATACTACATATAGTATGAACATACTTACCGTAGCTTGCAATAGCTCAAGAATTAAATACGGCACAATATTTCGTAAGTAAATGCATGACGTTCGTAATCAACATAATCTTGCATAAGCAAACATCTCATATTGAGTGCTCATTGACACATGCTGACACACGAGTTCATGCAGAGGTATTCTGACATGAACAAGACTGGATGTAACAATGCTATACACTCTAGTACTACAATTAATCACGTGAAGACTAGCGCTATGTGCCTCACATACAAGTCGGAGCTGCCTATTGCAACTTGTACAACAAGATTGGCACCTACAATGGATCCAAAGTGAGCGTACAGTGCGATGTGCACATACATGTGAAAGATTGGCCCTAGCCCGAGTGAGTACTAACATTGGTGCAGCAAACGATGAGCAAATAACATAAATGTAGTCATGCCATAATGATTCGATAATTTTAGTCAACATAATATTATTCATAGCCGTAAATTTAGCTAAGGCATCCCGTAAGATACATAATGATTTCCTAATTCTCTTCGTTACGTCATTTTCTATAAATATTAATTTAACTATGACATTCATATAGAAAATTCATTATTAGATGTGGAAACTAAACATATATATATATATACATACATGTATATATCAAGAAAAGACCCACTCACAATATTAATTCTCTTTGTTATGTTATTTTCTCGAACCGGCCTTAAAGCATCGAGAGTCTTTGCAATGCGTTTCGCCTAGAAACGAAACCATTTATGTAAATAAATAATGTACTAACGTATAAAAGCATTTTCGTACAAAGTGTGGGGAAAAAGGAGGGCGGATTCGGATCCGGCACGTCGAGAAACCTAAGAAGGGACCTCGGGTTTCTCCACGCACCACCACAAGTGGCTGCCCTAGCAGCTATGCGCCGCATGCGCCGATGACCCATGTAAGCCCATGCGCGCTTACGGCCTGCGAGTACCATCGTACTCGCCTTCCTCTCGAAGACCTGTGTTTTGTAGGTTTTTGGTTCGACTTCCAGATCTACCATTGAGCTCGATTCTTCACCAAAATCAATAATTCAAGAGCCATTTTGAAGTTAGAAATGTAGAGAGCAAAACCATACCAAGGTGAGGCCGAGTTAAGGTCGGTGTTGGCCGAAAAAATGGCCTGAAAGTGGTCAGATGACCACGGTTCCTAATTTTCCAGAAATCCGGAAAACTTCCTCCCTCCTTATTTATGTCATGAAACCAGTCCAAACTTCACTCATGAAGCCTAAAAGTCATTTTAAACCACGAGGGGAGATCAGACAAAGCATAATCGACATTTACCTTCACAGAAAGTGGTGAGATCCATGCCCGACAGTCTCCAGTGTTAGAGCTCCAAGATCCGAGAGCCATTCCCATTGGGATGTCAATAATTAAACCTAGGGCCATGTGTTAGATGATATGATATCTTGGGAACGTTGGTTTGATGGTCATCTACCATGGAAGACGGCGATGGTGATGACCCTAACCTCACGGTTGTCTCGTGTTTGTAGAGATGAGAGAGACGACAAGGAGATTGAGGGGGAGAGATGCATAACAAGAGAGAGATTAAGGGATATGGTATGATGGTTTAGGTGTAGTTGCCAGGAAGGTGGCGAGGTGGTGGTTGTACAGCTCGGCTTCACCTTTTTTTTTATTTTTTATTTTTATATATTTATAGAGAGAAGAGAGAGGTGAGAGATGAGAGGGAGAAGATAGAGGGAAGAGAGAGAGAGTTCCGAGTGATTTGGAAGGCACGAGATTGGGGGGAAAATGAATGGGGAGTCCCACATGGATGGGTCCCGTTGGATAGAAATTCAAGGGAAAATATTAATATAATAGAAAGCCAAATATTTAGGATGATGAAATTATTAAAATGCTCTTCGACTTCGTAAGTCTGTTAAATTTTCATCGCAACTCCGAATTCAATTTCGCTTGTGCTTAAGCGTCTGTATCGTCGAGTA